GAAAAAATCGAGGCGACGAGGGTTGCTGGCACGAGAGGCCGCGCGCGCCTGCGGCCTCCTGCCAGAACTCTCTTGAGCGACGCACCCAAGCAATGCCGCGCAGCCTGCAGCCACATCCGGGAATCATGGGTCGGCGCCACAACAACTTCTACAGCAGTAGCCACTCGACGACGACGGCGACAAACACGATGCAGGGGGGCGAAGGGATTTGGCGCGGCGGTGTGGGCATGGGAGCCACCGACCCTGCGATGCACCCAGAATTTATGGATTAACGACCTCACCACGACCGCGTGTTCATCACCCACATCATCTTTCCATGGCGACCCGCGACGGCCGCGACATTCTTCGTAGCGGCTCATTCTTCGTAGCGGCGGGGCTGCATATCCACGGTGCTGCATGGCCTGTGGTGTCTCGCTACCCGTCCCTCGTTAGCATCCAACAGGTAGACCCACGTGCAGCATGGTCATGATGTAGACGTAGTTGCCCCCTGCTTGCACGCGCTTCCTAGGGGCAGGAGAGAGGCTGTTTGCTCGCGGCAAGGCGCATCCGCGGTGCTGCGCAGCCCGCGGTCGCTGGATGGCGTTCGCCGCGGCGTGACAGAGCATTGCGGCATGACAAAATGCATGACAAGATGTGCCTCGCTCCGCATCCCCCGCCAGATCCCCATCCGATTGTGCATGTTGTATTCGAAATTCGTTTCGGGGCCACAGGGGGCCCTGCGCGGTTTGGGCGGGGGGCTTGTCCCCCCCTTGTCTCTTCCGGATTCTATGCCCATCCGGATTCCGGTGCCCTTGTGCCTCGAGCGCTAGACGTGATCAGCCTCATCGGTGACTCAGATGGCCAATCATGCTGGCAGCGGGGCCATGGAGTTGCAAGATGTCTGCCAGCTGAATGGAAAAACCTGCCATGTCTGCCAGCAAGGTTGAACAGCCTGTCATGTCAGCCAGCAGAGTTGAACAACTTGCCACGCTAAGCAAATGCTGGCTGTTTTCGCGCACGTACTCCATTGACGCGCTGCAAACATTACAAGCGCGCCACCTACTGACACCGGTGTTGCAGTGTCTTGTTGAACGCTGTAGCAGGACGGCGATGCCCCTGATTTGCTCTGCATGCGAGGTCTCCATATCAACCGCGATGCGAAATTCAGCCCGAGCTTGTGCCTCAGAGGTCGGACAGAAACTACTGCGTTGTGCTGAAGCATTTGCCGGCAGAGACTACCAAGGACGGCCCGTAAATAGCTTGGGCCAATGGCATCAGGGGGTGGCCATGCAGCGGACGTGTCGGTGGGAACGATGGCGCTGCACCGCTGCTCAGGCAACAGAGACCGCGGTCGCGGAGTGTACCGGCCAGCCCGAGAAGCAATTGCATCGAATATTTGAGAGGTACCGCGTAGCCCTGCCAGGCTCGCGCGAGAAGACCCGTGCTGCGCAGCCGGTCCGCCAGAGTAAAAAGCGGCGCATATCAACCATGCGCCCCGCCACCAACAGTCTCTCACCAGCGGCGCCGGCGACTGATGATTCGATGCCACTCGGATTCACAGAGAGCAAGGCCAGTGCTGCACAGCCTGGCCCACCGCAAGTCGCGGCCATCATTGCAGGTGCCGACCCCAGTACCATGGTTGTTCAACCGGGCTCAGCAGCAGCATCCGCGCCAGCGCCAGTGCCAGGAGAAGTCGTCGACACCACTACCACGGGTCCTAGTGTTGCGCAACCTGGACCAGGCAGAACGCTGCAGCACTTGTGCACGAAGTACCAGATCACCGCGTTCCAACGACCCTTCTACTTGCTCATGATTATGAGACTACTCCCGGTTCAGTGGGGTGACCACGCGGAACTCTTACTGCGAACGTCCTGGTCGACAGCCTGGGGCGGAGGCAAAGTCATCAACGCCTTGCTCTTTAACGGGGAGCGCATCGTGCCAGAGAGCGCTGTTGATATGCGGAGGAACGTTTGGGATCAGTGCTACCCAGAGCTGCAGAGCGAACGAGGTGTTTGCTTGCATTCTGCATCACGGCGACTTCGGTGACCGCCTCTTGCAAATCGGCTGCGAGCACATCCCTGCTCAAATGCGACGGCCGATTGTTAACTTGCAGCGTATCTGCTACAAGATCTGCGAGTTGCGGAAGGGAAACCAGTCACGGCGATATGTGTACTACTGGTTATTCGACACAGTCCCTGCGCGCCAAGAGTGGCTCGGGCGACTCCACGACAGCGGGGAGGTTGTGGTCGCACCACTCTGGCCAGCGCCGATGATGCCAGCCGAAACAATGCTGAACAACTTGTTGCACCGATCTGGGAGTCGCTGCTGCTGTACAGTTTCGTAGGAACGTTCGGTGTAGCAAATGTTGCACAACCTTGCTCAATGCCAAGTCGTGCGGTGTAGGCCGGATCCGGAGCATTCTCAAGCACACCCGGTGAACGAATGGAAAGACATGCGTGTGTGTGTGTGTGTCTGTGCGCACGCAAAGCAAAAGCAACACCACGCAACAGCAAAAACAAAAGCAAAGCAAAAACAACAGCAACAGCAAAAGCAAAAGCAAAGGCAAAGGCAAAAGCAAAGGCAATAACAAAAGCAAAGGCAATGCAAAGCAAAAACAAAACCAATGCGAACATGAAGATGTAGATGTAGATGTAGATGTAGATGTAGGTGTGGATGTAGGTGTAGATGTATATGTAGGTGTAGATGTAGGTGTGGATGTATATGTAGATGTGAGTCTCGCTTTTGAGTAGATGTAGATCTTGATGTTGATGTAGATGCAGATGTAGATGTACATGTAGATGTAGATGTATATGTAGATGTAGATACAGGCGTAGGTGTATGAGTAGCTGTAGGTGTAAATGTAGATGTAGGTCTAGATGTATATGTAGGTATCGATGTAGATGTAGGTGTAGATCTAGATGCAGACTTAAAGAATTCCCCCGTGCCCCGCCCTCATCTCCGTGCCTGCTTGCTGTTGCTGCTGTCTCGGCGACTTGCTGACTGCTTCTGCTGCTGCTTCACTTACGGCGTGGCGTCGGCGGTTCTGGCGCTACTACTACTACTACTACTACTACTACTACTACTACTACTACTACTACTACTACTACTTCTACTACTACTACTACTACTACTACTACTACTACCACTGTTACTTCTACGACGACTACTACTACTACTACTACTACTACTACTACTACTACTACTACTACTACTACTACTACTACTACTACTACTACTCTACTACACTACCACTACCACTACTACTACGAATAGTACTACAGATAATACTATTACTACTACGACCATTACGACTACCACTACTACTACTACTACTACTACTACTACTACTACTACTACTACTACTACTACTACTACTACTACTACTACTAACTACTACTAACTACTACTACTACTACTACTACTACTACTACTACTACTACTACCACCCCTTACTACTACTACTACTACTACTACAACTACTACTACTACTACTACTACTACTACTACTACTACTACTACTACGACTACTACTACGCTACTACTACTACTACTACTACTACTACTACTACTATCAGACTTCTACTACTTCTACTACTTCTACCTACTTCTACTACGTACGACTATACTACGACTAACTACTACGACTACTAACTACTAAGACTACTAGCTACTACTAACTACTACTACTACTACTACTACTACTACTAAACTGCCCTACTACACCGCTACTACCGCTACTCTACCGCTACCACCGCTACGCTACCGCTACCGCTACTATGACTACTAGCACTACTACTACTACTATTACTACTACTACTACTGCTACTGCTACTACTACTACTACTACTACTACTACTACTACTACTACTACTAACTACTACTACTACTACTACCTACACTACTACTACTACTACTACTACTACTACTACTACTACTACTACTACTACTACTACTACTACTACTACTACTACTACTACTACTACTACTACTACTACTACTACTACTACTACTACTACTACTACCGCTACTGCTACACTTACGACGATGAGGAGAAGGAGGAGGACGGTGTTTACCGCTCCTACTAATGTTGCCTTCCTAGAGGCTCCAACTCCTAGGTAGGGACGCACTGGGATAATTGAATATTCCCGCCCCTCTTCGAGTAGCAGGCGCCACGGGCGTGTCCGCAACCGTGGCGGCTCTGGCGCCCCCGGAGCTGGCGGAGGCAGGCGGCCTCGCCTCCTCCCTCCTCCTCCTCCTCCTCCCTCTTCCTCCTCCTCCTCCTCCCTCCTCCCCCACCCTCCTCCTCCTCCTTCTCCACCTCCTCCTCCTCCTCCTCCTCCTCCTCCTCCTCTCACGCCCCTCCTCCTCCTCCTCCTCGCTCCTCCTCTCCTCTCCCTCCGCCCTAGTCCCTCCTCTCCTCCTCCTCGTCCTCCTCCTCCTCCTCCTCCTCCTCCTCCTCCTCTCTCTCCTTCCTCCTCTCCTTCCTCCTCCTCCTCCTCCTCCTAACCTCCTCCTCATCCTCCGTCCTCCTCCTCCGTCCTCCTCTCCTCCTCCTCCTCTCCCTCCATCCCTCCTCCTCCTCTTCCCTCCCTCCTCCCTCCTCCTTCCTCCCTCCTTCTCTCCCTCCTCCCCTCCTCTCCTCCTCCCTCCTCCCTCCTCCTCCCTCCTCCTCCCCTCATCCCTCCCTCCCCCCCCCTCCCTCCTCCTCCTCCTCCCTGCTCCTCCTCCTCCTCCTCCTCCTCCTCCTCCCTCTCCCTCCTCCTCCTCCTCCCTCCTACTCCTCCTCTCCTCCTCCTCCTCCCTCTCCTCCTCCTCCTCCTCCTCCTCCTCCTCCTCTCCTCCTCCTCCTCCTCCTCTCACTCCTCATCCTCCTCCTCCTCCCTCCTCCTCCTCCTCCTCCTCCTCTCACTCCTCCTCCTCCTCCTACTCCTCCTCCTCCTCCTCCTCCTCCTCCTCCTCAACCTCCTCTACCTCCTCCTCCTTCTCCTCCGCCCTCCTCCTCCTCTTCCTCCCCCAGGCCGTTAGCAGGGGCGGGCCAGCGCGCAGGCGAGCTCGCCGCCCAGCCCCATCTGCAGCCACGGCTCAGCAGCAGTCCTTGCTGGCCGCGTGCTCGCGCAGCGGCGGGCGGCCTCCCCTCCCGCGGCCGCGAGGCGAGCCCTCCGGCGCCTGGGACTCAGGACTCGAGTCGGCGGCGAGCCCTTGGGGGAGGAGGAAGAGGGGGAAGAGGAGAAGCAGGAGGAGGAGGAGGAGGAGGAGAAAGAGGAGAAGGAGGAGGGAGGAGGGAGGAGGGGGGCGCGAGCTCTCGCTCCGCTGGCCTGCCCCTGTCGGCCGCCGCCCCCGCCTCCGCCTGAGAAGGCCCGCCCCCTCTCACTTCTTCCCCCGGGCTGCCGCCCCCCTCCTCCTCCTCCCGTCCTCCCTTCTCCCTCTTCCTCCTCCTCCTTCCCCCTCCTCCTCCTCACCTCCTCAACTCCTCCCCTTCTCCTCCGCCCTCCTCCGCCCATCCTCCGCCTCCTCCTCCTCCTCCTCCTCCTCCTCCTCCTCCTCCTCCTACTCCGCCGACAGAGGAGCAACAAAGACTGGAGAAACGTAAAGCTACGGCGCCCCGCGCGGATTTCTTGCAGCGGCGCTGCGCCCCCCCCTGGCAGAGCGAGGCCTGCGCGCGGGGACCACGCCCCGGAAGCGAGCACGACAGCGACAGCGACGACGGACGACGACACCATCCACGGGCAGGCCCAGGGAGCAGGCCCAGGGATGGTCCGGTGGATGCGCGCCGGTGGGTGCACAGAGCACCCTCGCTGCAGCCAGGCTTGGCACGAAGCTCCGCCCCTTCCTCATCCTCGCGGGGCACGCCGAGGACGTTCGCTGCCAGAGGAGGATGGAGGGGGGGGTGAGAAAGCAGGGAGGAGGAGGAGGAGGAGGAGGAGGAGGAGGAGGAGGAGGAGGAGAAGAAGGAGGAGAGGAGGAGGAGGAGGAGGAGGAGGAGGAGGAGGAGGAGGAGAGGAGGAGGCAGGAGGCAGGACCTCACCTGGCCGCTGCCATGCGTCCGCACCGTAGGGGGTGCGGGGGAAAAGACGGATGGAGGGAGAGAACTGGAGGGAAAGAGCATGAGGAGGAAGGGGAGAAGGACAATGACGAAGAAGAGGGAGGGTATATCTGGAGCGGGCAAGCGGGGTCCTGGTGAAAACAGTGCTCCCCCGTGGCGTCATCCTGCTCGTCCCGTATGTGGTGCTCATCCCCCTCCCCCCTCCTCGTGCGCCTCTTCCCCCCTCCTGCGCTCCGACGAGCTGGTCCCGCACTTCTTCTTTCCCCCCCTCCTCCTCCTTCCATCCTCTTCCTCCTGCTCCTCCTGCTCCTCCTCCTCCTCCTCCTCCTTCTGGTCCTTTTCCCCCCCCTGCTGCTCTTTCTGCTCCAGTTGTGGTCTTGCGCATCAGCGAGCCCTCTTCGCCGCGCCGCCGGGTATCTGCCACAGAGGCGGGCCGAGCGCCCGTCGCAGCACGCGGTCTGCAAGCGCACAGCGCTCGGCGCCATGCCGGAGCGGGGGGAGCTTGGATCTCCAAGCCGTTCCTCGGGACGCTGGGTCAAAAGCAGAACGATCGTGACACCCCAGGCCCCCGACGTTGTGATTTTTTCGCAACCCAGACCACCTCGCAATATGAACAAAATCACGACGGGAAGTTTCTCTTTCTTTTTGGCCTCCGGGGGCCCTTCCAGCGCCTCGGGGCCGTCAAAAACGACTCAGGAGGAGGAGGAGGAGGAGGAGGAGGAGGAGGGCCCAGGCCTCCGGGGGCCGACGCAGCGAAAAGATCACGCCGCCGGGGGTCTGGGAACGTCGACCCCCAGAGGTCAAAAACAGGAAGATCTGTCCGCTCGGAGCGGACAGATCTTTCTGTCAAACTTGCAATCTTCAAACTTTGGAACTCTTCAAACTTTCAAACTTTCAAAATTTGAATGTGTGCAATTTTGACTCCCTCGGTTCCTCTCGTTCAAAATTGTCTGTTGGGCGCCGGGGGCATGACCGCTCCAGCCTCCCCGGGCCCCAAAAGCCTGTGGCCGGGCGGCGCGCCATTGTGCCACTCGAACCCTCCGCGCGCCCCGCGCCCACGTCGGGCTCGCGCAACCCGGACCCCCAACGTCGTGATTTTTGTCACAACGTCGACCCCAAGAGGTCTGGACCCTTTCCCTGGATGAGAAACCGGTCCCGGGGAAAGGGTCGGGACTTCTGGGGACCCCGTCCTGAAGAAATCAGGACGTCACATGTCTGGGGAGGTCGACCCTGCCAAACAAAGGGTACCCTTGTGCCCAGACCCCCGACGTCGTGATTTTGTCACAACGTCGACCCCAAGAGGTCTGGACCCTTTCCCTGGGACCGGTTCTTCATCCTGAGTCGTTTTCTGACGGTCCCGAGGCCCGGTAAGGACCTCCAGAGGGCGAATATATATATATATATATATATATATGTATATATATAAAAAAAAAAAAACAAACCTCCCGTCGTGATGTTTTCCACGGCGCGAGGAGGTCTGGGAAGGGGGCGCTCCCCCGAGATCCGACGCTCCAAAAAATTGGAGCAGGCGGATTTTGGCCGCCTTCGGCCTCCGGGGGGGGGGGGGGCCTGGCCGGGCCTCCGGGAGCGTCAACAAGACGACGCAGGACGAGGCACCGGCCCTGGGGAAGTGGTCGGGACCTCCGGGGCCCACGCATCGGAAAAATCGGAGCAGCGGCATGTCTGGGAAGGGGAGCACGCGCGCGAAAGGTACCCTCGAGGTCTTCTTGCACCACAGTCGGCCGACCACAAGCTGTTTTCTTTTTGTTTGCCTCCACCCCAACATGATCCAAACGCAGTAGAAACATGTTAGCGCCTCGGCCTGTTCAGCGACACGGGTGGCACTACACAAGCTGTGTGTGTGTGTGTCAGAGATCATCCGCGTGCCAGCACTCCAAGGGCTCCTGGGAGACGCAATTCATGCATCCGCTGGCGTGGTCTGCGCGCCAGTCCCCACCAATGCAGAATCAACAGCACTGTCGTCTGTCATGAACGCCAGCGAGATGAGCAGGATTTATCCCCCCTCGACAAAGAAGGGAAACAGGAGGAAAATGGGAGCTGGACAACGGCATTGCGAGTGCAGCGCCTACGGTCTGGCTTGCCATCGACACAAAACCCACAACGGAAGCCAGGAGGAGAAAGACAGAGGGAGGCGAAGGGGAGCGAGAGAGGGAAGAGATAATCAAACGAGCATCCACAGGAAGATATCACCTCGCGGGCGCGAAGAACACACACACAGACACACACACACACACACACACACACACACACCGAGCAGTGACGGAGGCGGCACCAGCACGGAAGCCCCACGGAAGCCAAGAGCTGACACTTCAGGCTCGGGCCGCCCGTCAGAAAAGAGGGCCACGCACGACATAACATTGCGGAGGGAGGCTGTGCCACAGCGCGTGCGATGTGCGCTAGGCTTCCTGTGGTCAGTGTCCCCTCCTTCCTCCTCCGCCTCGGTCTCCTCCCTCCTCTTCGCTGCTGCCTCCTACACATTCCCCTTTCCTGCCCGTTCCACACACACACACTCCTCGTCCTCCTCCTCATCCTCATCCTCTTCCTCCTCCTCCTCCTCCTGCTCCTCCATCTCCTCCTCCTCATCCTCTTCCTTCTCTTTCGATCCCCTCCGTATCTTGCTCCTCCCTCCCCATCTCCCCCTCCTGTTCCTCCCTCCTCCCGGTCACCATTCCACCTGCTGCTCCTCAAAAAGTCTATCTATATCACCACCATCACCATCATCATCGTCATCATCAACATCACCACCACCAACATCACCACCACCATCATCAGCATCATCATCATCATCACCATCACCATCGTCATCATCACCATCATCGTCATCATCATTATCAACATATGCATATGCATCGTCATATGTATATTCATCTTCATCTTCATCATCGTCATCATCACCATTATAATCGACATCACCATCATTATCGCCATCACCATCATCATCACCATCAACAGCATGAACATCGACGCCAACATCATCACTGTCATCATCATCACCACCATGATCATCATCAAATTCATCACCATCACCATCATCCTCATCCCAATTCTCATCACCATCACTGTCACCATCATCGTCACCAATACCATGATCATCGTCATCGCAATTATCACCGTCATCACCGTCATCACCGTCATCACCACCATCATCATCGTCGTCGTTCTCAGCACCGTCATCATCATCACCACCATCATCATCATCAGCATCATCGTCAACGCCAATATCATCACAACCATCACCACAATCATCATCAGACTTATCATCGTGATCATCACCAGCATCACCACCGTAATCATCACTCAACATCATCAACTACAAAATCATCATCATCATCCTCATCCTCATCTTCAGCACCACCACTATCATCACCATCAGGATCATCTTCATCACCACCACCGTCAGTATCATCGCCATCACCATTATTATCATCATCGACATCATCATCATCACCATCGCCATAATCATCATCATCATCAACATCAACCTCAACATCATCACCATCATCACAGCCATGATGAGCATCATAACCATTACCATGATGATGATGATGATGATCATCATCATCATCATAATCATCACCATCATCGCCATCATCATTATCAACCTCACCCGCATCCTCATCACTCCTCATCACCACCACCATCTTACCATCATAACCCTGATCTTCATCATCATTATCAGCATCATCCGCATCATCACCAACATCAACATCACCATCAACAGCACCATCATCACAATCACAATCATCCTCATCATCATCATTGACATCGACGCAAGCATGATCACCATTATCACCATCACAACCGTCATCATAACCATCACCCGCCACCATCATCGCTGTCAACGCCATTGTCATCAACATCATCATCAACACCATCATAATCAACATCATCATCAACATCATCATCCTCATCATCATCATCAACGTCATCATCGTCGCCATCATCACCAACATTACCACCATCATCATCACTGCCCTTACCCCCATGCTCATCAACATCACGATCACCATCATCATCTTCATGATTACCCTCATCAAAGTCATCACCTTCATCACCAATATCATC